TGTCCAGAAGCACGTCCAGTCTCCCGGAAGGTCTCCCAGTCTAATTAGCATATTACCCTTTTATTAGTATAGATGGCCTTCTAGAGATAGGTGTTACCAAAATAGGTTACACATCAGAATCACCTTGGGGCTGCCTAAAAATACAGATCCTTAGGCCTCACATCTGAAATCATAGTCATTCATATGCTCTCTCATGCATTTCTCTCTCTCTCTCTCTCTCTCTCTTCCCCCCCCCTTTTTTCCTCCCCCCTTCCACCGTCTCCCTCCCTCCCTCATTTTCCTTCTTCCTCCCCCTCTCCCTCTATTCCTCTCTCTTAAACCTTCAATGAACTTGGTGTTTGGGAAATAATGCACTATAACATACGCCTCAATGTTATATTGACCCCTTTGTTCCAACTTTAAACAAATAAGCCTGGGATGATAGTTAGCTAACCAAAACAAACATGATTTACTTATTAAATATTGAGAGATTGCCGAAACCGGTTTGGCTCAGTGGATAGAGCGTCAGCCTGAAAAAATAAATAAATAAAAATAAATAAATAAATATTGAGAGATTAAAAAAGAAAGCAGCAATTTCTTCCATATCCTCATAATCAGAGCTCCAAATACTAACACCTTCCCTAGCTAGTTTGTTTGTAACTAGGTTCATCTTGGTTCAATGATGGGTCCATTGAGAAAGCTGAGGACACAGGCCCGGCAATCTCCATGGTCCACAGATACAGTTTCAACTCTCCAAGAACCTGGGCAAACACAACTTTTATTTTTCTCTTTGGAATCCACTCCATATGCAAGAACATTTGTTTGCCTTCCTGGTGGTAAAGTGTAATAAAAATACTTGAGATTTTTACTTTGGAAATGGAAGATTTCAACTGCAGACCTCCAATTAATCTACTCCATCAACTCATTCTACACAGAAATTTCAATGGCTTGTTGAAATCCTCTCAACTCCAAGCTTTCTCAATTCTACACTTAGTAACAATGAGACTAAATTCAAACTGAGTGATCCTTTCAGTAAAACCTAAATTCAGAACTTAAGAAGAAATACCTGAAAAGGGGGGAGGGGTAAAAAAATTTCCTTGTAATAAAACACACAAAAAAATATTTCAAGAGAATTATACATACTATCACACTTATACCAATCTTCTACTCACTAGAACTAATGGAGATTTTTTTAATTAGAAATAATTACATACATATGTTAAAATGGTTTTCTCCTACCTGGATCCTCAGATGTGTCCTTTGGTAAGGCTTCATCCATAGTACTTTTCAGAGCTAGTGATGTTTTGTTTTTCAAGAACAGAGAAAGAAAGAAGGGGGGAGGGGGAGAAAACTATAACACTTTATTTCTCTGGAAAATTACATTAAAACAAAGAATCCCTAGTCATCACTTATGAAAATGGTGTTACAAACTTCTATAACTGCTATAGCACTCACTAAAACAGTAAAGAACTCTTAAAGTATGAAAATAAGTTCTCCCAAGAGAACAAAGCAGTATTTTCAACTGTCCAGATATAGTGCCTCTAGTGGCTATGAGGAGTATTACCAGGAGATATTAGGCATTTCCCCTTTCATTCCTGACATCCAGACCAATGATATCAGAATCTCTCTTGAAGTGAAACCCAGGCTTCAGTTTTTTTAGAGCTCAGTTGATTATTCCAATATGAACTCGAGGATAAGACCCCGTAATTAATAAAGAGACTGGTCATCTATTGTCTACAATGTCCAGTTCTGCCTGCCTCTCCCAAGCATGGAACTATTGTTTCCTAAGGGAAAACTTATTTTTCATGTTTAATTCCCATACCAAGTTTCATCAATGGCAGGTCTCAACAATAAAACCTGAGATATCTTCAATGATTTTTAGAAGGAGCACTGGCCTGAGAGAAAATCTTGGTTGTTATCCCCTCTCTTTTTCTTTTATTTAAATAGTTTATTGACGTTTAGAGAGAGGAAAGGGGAGAGAAAGAGAGGGAAACATTAATAGGCTGCCTGGTGCATGACCCCTACTGGAGATTAAGTCCACAACCCAGGCATGTGCCCAGACCAGGTCTAACCAGCAACCTTTCAGTGTATAGAAAACACTGCCCAACCAACCGAGCCAAACCGGCCAGGGCCTCTCTCTCTTTTTCTTACTAAGCAAATGATTCATACTGAGTCTGAACTTCAGTTTACTCATTTCTAAATTTTAGGCAATAAACATACCAACTTCCATTCAGTTTTGTGAGTTCTGGGTAGATAGTGTATGAGAAAAGATTATAAAGCATTATACAGAAGTATGGAGCTGAGGGGGGATTCCTCCTGTTCTTCTCAATATTCCCAGGCCAACTTATCTCTGTACTCAGTAATAGCTATAACATGGGTCACTGTGTTGTACTGCTTCTCATCCACCCACAAAGATAGACAAATCTTTATCATAGCCCCACAGTCACAGATAAAGCCCAGGGACAGAAACTCTCTCCAGAAGATAATTTCCTCATGGACTAGAGCTTTGTACAAATGTGCATTTTTATTGATGCTCTGGGATCACATCTGCCAAAATAAGATGCTAAGCTCTAAATTATTTCAGCTTCCAGTCATTTCCTAATTAGTATGGCCAGATTCCAATGTAAGGAGTCAGGATAGCCTGAGGGTCAGCAGTGAGTAAGGAGCCAATGAGCTATGGGGGGCTTTGGACACTCAAGCTCTTATTACCACTTTATGAACTATAGTTTTGGGACAATTTATACTACTTAATCCATCCAAATGTGTTCATGTACTGATAACTGCCCTCATGTACTCTAGAAGCCAACCATTCCAAGAGAAGTGGATAAACAAAATATAGGCAGAATGTCCCTAATGGAAGAAAACTCATTCTTTTCATACCTTGTTTGTCATCACCAGTCATATCTTCGGTAGAAACGGGAAAGTCAGCCACGTCTTTAATAGATAACTTCTTGGAAAAGGAAAGAAAATTAATTATACAGATTGAATAGAACTTAAATGATGTGCACATATGATGAAAATGTTTTAAAAGCAATATATCTTGCCAATATTTCTGTCTTCAGTAAACCCTAACATTTAATATTATTTTTTTAGGTTCCTAGTGAGGGATAGTTAATTGCATTGAAATAGATATATGCAGAGAGGAATAAATAACCATTCAGATTAAGGCATATGTAGAGACCACATATTAAATCTGAATCCCATGTAGGATTCAGCCAGAGACTCTTGTAGCATTTGTTCATTCAGTGAAGAACAAACCCGTGCCCTAGCCAGTTTGGCTCAGAGGATAGAGCGTCAGCCTGTGGACTAAAGTGTCCCAGGTTCAATTCTGGCCAAGGGCACATGCCCAGGTTGCAGGCTCAATCCACCCCCAGTAGGGGGCGTGCAGAAGGCAGCCAGTCAATGATTCTCTCACCGTTGATGTTTCTATCTCTCTCTCTTCCTCTCTGAAATCAATAAAAAAATTTAAAAAAGGAACAAACCTGTAATTTATGTGCTTTTTCATAAGCAAAGAGAGATTCTGACAAGTGGCCCCATAAGGTGGGTATATGCCAGGATCTGTTAAGCAGAGGGTATTCTACCCTGATTCAAATAGCCTCCTTATCCTGGAATAAGAGCATTTTAATGATGAGAACAAAATGTCCTCCTAACTCACTTATGAGAAAAGTCTTCACTTATACTAATAAGATGAATACCCAAATTGATCAAATATTGATTAGTTTAAAATTATGTTAACATCTACTTACTATAAATTTATTTCTTATAAAGTCTCAATTAACATGCACTCTAAGACTTCTGATAGATTAAAGAATAATATATTCATATTTTCTATATATAAACAAATCCTAGAAAGATACCTACAAATTGAAGGGTGACTGGGTACATAAAGGAAAGATATGGGAGAACTTGTCACTATATGCCTTTTGGTATTCTTTTTTATTTTAAACATATTCAAAAAATCAAATAAAGAAATAAATTTTAAAACTTAAAGGAAGTAGGGTAAATTCCTAGAGCTACCTGGAGCTCCAAAATGTTAATTGGTTTATCTCTCAGAATCTGAACAACCCCCAAAAGATAAACAGTACTTCTGTTTTTAAACTGTTCCAAAGAATGGAGTTATAGTACTGCTTGGTAGTAATCTGATCTACTAGTAGGATTTAATTCTCAGGCAGGTCATTCTTGGCATTACGATGAAGTATCCAGATGTAATTGCCTATTCAAATTCTACTATCTCCAATGGAACAAAGAATGTATCTTAACATTGCCTTTCTTTCATTTTCTTCTCCCATCTAGATTAGAAACCAGATACTTAGTAGAAGAATATGACTCAGGGGTAGAAAATGTAGATTAGAAAGAAATCTAAAAAAGAGTTGAAATAAATTTTAAAAATCTAAATAAATTGAACATAAAACTTAATATTATTAGGATGGCACTACTCCTCAAACTCATCTACAGATTCAATGCAATCCTTTTCACTTTTCTGCAGAATTTGACCATATGATCCTAAATTTCATAAGGAAATGCAAGGAATCCAGAATAGTGAAAATATTCTTGAAAAAGAAGAACAAAGTTAAAGGACTCACACTTCCCAAGTTTAAACCTTACCACAAAGTTACAGTAATCAAGACAATGTGATATATACTAGCATAATGACATATAGATGGGATAGAATTGAGAATCCATAAGTAAACCCTTACATTTGTTCAAGTGATTTTCAATAAAGTTGCAAAACAATTCAATGGTGGGAAATTGTTTATTCAATAAATAATTCTGGAATAACTAATAATCCATATACACATATAAAAGAATGAAGTTATACCTCTTCCTCACAGCATACAGAAAAATTAACTCAAAATGGATCATAGACCAAAATGTAAGACCTAAAACTACAAAATTCTTAGAAGAAAACAAAGGACTAAATCTTCATGATCTTCTATTAGGCAATGGTTTCTTAGATATGACACCAAAGTACAAGCAACAAAAGAAAAGATAGATAAATTGAACTTCATCAAAATAAACATTTGTGTTGCAAAAGATGCTATAAAGAAAGGGAAAAGAAAAACCAAAGAAAGAGCAAATACTTGCAAATTATATACCTAGTAAGGAACTTATATCCAGAATACATAAAGAACATGTATAACTCAGTAATAACCCAATTTATAAACAAAAGTCCTCTCTGAAATCAATAAAAACAAAATTTAAAAAATAAAATAAAATAAAACAGACTATAACAAGTATTTACAAGGACATGGGGAAATTGGAACTCTCATACATTGCTGGTGGAGGAATATAAAATGGTGCAGCTGCTTTGCAAAACAGTTTGATAGTTCATCGAAAAGTTAAACACAAGTTACAACATGATCCAACAATTCCACAAGTAGGTATATATCCAAGATAATTGAAAACATGTTCACACAAAAACCTGTACATAGCCTGGCCATGTGGCTCAGTGATTGAGCATCGACCTATGAACCAGGAGGTCACGGTTTGATTCCCAGTCAGAGCACATGCCCATGTTGTGGGCTCAATTTCCAGTAGGGGGTGCGCAGGAGGCAGCCTACTGGTGATTCTCTCTCACCATTGATGCTTCTATCTGTCTCTCCCTCTCCCTTTCCCTCTCTGAAATCAATAAAAACATATTCGAAAAAAAATACATAAATGTTCATAGCAGCATTTTTTCTAACAGCTCAAAAGTGGAAACAATAACCCAAATGTCCATCATCTGAACAATAGACAAAATGTGGCATATCCATACAATGGAATACTATTCACCAATAAAAAGGAATGAGCACTGACACAGCATGAATGAACTTTAAAACATTAGACTAAGTGAAAGAATCCAGCCATAAAAGATCACATATTATATGATTCTATTTATATGAAATGTCCAGAATAGGCAAATTCAGAGACAGAAAATGGATTAGTGATTATCAGAGACTTGGGGGCTGGGGAATAGTGAATGACTTCATGAATATAGGCTTTCTTTTTGGAGTGATGAAAATGCTCTAAAATTAGACTATAGTAATGGTTGCATAGCTTTTAATATACTGAAAACCACTGAATTGTATATTTTAAATGAGTATGGTATGTAAATTATACCTCAGTAAAGATGTACACAAAAGAAAGAAATCCAGTGATCTAAGAAACTCTGCTAAGAGGAGTATACCTGAAATTATAATCTTTAATTCTTGGTAGAACATGGTTACAGCTCTGCTGTCTTTATAAAAAGGTGTACTGCTGAGCAAACTTCTCATGACATGAATCAGCCACAGCTTCATTCCTAACACAAGCACCTGTATGGAGTCATCCCTCACAGGGCTGATGACCAAGATCTATTTAAACTCCATGCATGCATTCATGAAAAAATAAAAGGGTGTAGAAAGAACAATGAATGAAATAGTTTAGAAGAACATAAAATATTTAATCATTAGCTATTAAATTCTGACCTATAGTGTTCAAATGGCCAAACCATCAATTAACCTCATTACTTCACCCCTGATTTTTGTTTAGTACATCATTATCTAAAAGCACTGCACCCTTAAAAATAACAGTTTTGTTGGGAGTTTTTGTTTTTTGTTTTTGTTTTTGCTTTTTGGTTTTTTTGCTTTCTTGTTTGGATAGAACAAAGCAAAGACTAGGTGGCTTTTAACCTACTCCCTCAAAGGAACCAGTTAAAGCTTATAAATGTATATAAAACTTAGTTGCACATAAGGTCCATGTGTGTGTAAGTCAGTAATTAATTTCTCAAAAAAAAGCATTATTTGTCTCTGTTGAAGGGGCAAAGACCATCTGATACCATGGCAAGCTGGAACAAAACATTTATCCAGCAAGAATAATAATTTATGACACTTTTTAGTAAATTACCTAACAACCTCATAATTTTACACAAGCAGGGGGACTCGTAGCAAAAAAAAAAAAAAAAGGAAACTACATAAGAGAGCTATGGAGTTTGTGTCCTGGCCTGACAGACAAGCCTCTCCAGACATGGCCAGCAGCCCCAGAGTAGACTGAGGACCATCAAAAATGGTTATATGGCCCTGGCTGGTGTGGCTCGTGGAAATAGCAACAGCCTGCAGACTGAAGGACCCCAGGTTTGATTCCAGTCAGGGGCACATGCCCGGATTGTGGGCTTGATCCTCAGTGGAGGGCATGAGGCAGGGGGGAGCAGCCGATCAGTGATTCTCTCTCATCACTGATGTTTCTATCTCTCCCTCTCCCTTCCTCTCTGAAATCAATAAAAATATATTTAAAAATAAAATTTAAAAAGTGGTTATAATGTTTGTTATATGTTTCTCCATCATATTCAATATACAGAAAAAGAAATTTAAAAGGCTGAAAGTCTTCAAAAGCACATCTATCACACCTCCTGAAATCACTGTTCATTACATCTTTTTCCCACAAGTAGAAATTTGTTGAGGAAAGTAACATGGAGGCTATGACTCCAAGAAAGAGCAGCAGAGAAGCCAAGAGAGCTGTTAACAGAGAGAGCACTGTAGAAGCAGGAAAATAATAATCACACACAATTATAAGAACTTAAAGAAATGGCCCCTGTATACTGCCTTTGGCTTCTATCATCTTGCCACGGTTTTAACTAGTGTCAGAGAACTGTTTTAGGAGCCTGTGAATAAACCTCCATTTAAACTTTTCTAGATTTTTAGGACAGGAAGATTAGGTATCATAAGTTGTTATCATTGCAATCATGATGAGGATGATGATGATAGTGCTGAAATTAACAATAACTATAACAACTATTTATCAATGCATACTGAAGGAATACTAAGCATGTGGCTAAGAACCTACATCAATGGCCCACCATGGTGGGAATTCTGGTTTCTCTTGGGGATCATCCAAGTCAATCTTCTTCTGGTCCAAAAGTTAAACACTCTGAGGGAGAAGGCAGCTTTGAATGTGGTTTGGGGCCCTCATATATAGTTCTCAAACCTCCTCTCAAAACTGTTCTGGTTCATTATATTTTGTTAATACTCAGCTACTAAAAATACAACTTTACAATTTTTACTTCAAAATTAAAGCTTGGTTAAAGTAAGTAACTTGGCTAGCATTTTTCGGGCTTAGTTTGGCTATACCTCAATTTCATCTCTAGAAAGTCAAGAGACTATTTTGCTTATTTCACCAAATCTAGTTCTAGGGAGAAAATTAAAAAGATAATTATAGATATGCCTGGGGTCAAAATTTGAAAGGATGAGCCCCAAATTAAGAACTAACTATGAAGAGAAAATGTTATAAAAGTAGATTTAAGAGAGTTTGTAAAGCACATAGGCTAATGGATTTAATTTTAAACACATCCTTAACTAATTTACATATGAAGATCTTTTACCTCCATCCGATTCAAGTCATGAGGTTGTTGGTTTGCTGGCATGGACTCAGAATAAGAATCAAATAACGCACACTCCCACTTGGGTTTAGGAAAGGCTAAGAAGAAACAAAAAGAATACATATAGTCATAGCAGGCACTGTTTCCTATATAACAACAAAATCAGCTGGCTCCTATAACTGGTTATGGCACTCATCATGCTGAGATATAAATTTTCTATATATATATAACCTGGAACTTCTATCATCTCCATTTACACATGATGAAACTGAGGAACCAGGAAGTTAAACAACTTACTCAAAGTCATACAGTTGGTAAATGGTTCAGCACGGACTTGAATTGCCAGCAGTCCTACTAAATGGTCTTTAGCATTTCATGTTGTAACATAGTTGTTTTCTATATTAACCACTGCTATCACAATACTTAAGTTTTAACTATATACTACTAGCATAATTTTTAATTAGTAGTAACTATGGTAATAGTTTTAATACTATAAACATTAATAAAGGAAACACTACAGTTTAGCTATTCTTGTTGGAAATAGAATCTTATGATGGTATGTGCCCAAGAAAATTTTATGAAATACTCCTTTCTTTTGGTTAGAAGGAGTAACAAAAGTAAGAGCACAGGTTCTTGCTGATTTACAAGAGAGGAAATAGAATCATATTATGAATTTCTAATACAGAACAGTGACAAGGGCTGTTAGTTTGGATGCTAACTAGATCAGCATGAGGAAAAATCACGCCACTACATAAGCTAATACTTATTTAACACTCACGCTACTTCTTAGAAGTGGCTTGTTTCATCACTGTGTCAGAAAGTAATTAAGAAAGATAGGTCTCAATAACTAGAAAATTTGTCAATATTCCAAAGAGAAAAAGCAGATTGGGGTAGACAATAAACAGAAGCTACAAATCAAATTTGTCAAGACCAGCTATTAAGAAATCAAATTTAAATGCCATGTGTGATATTATGATTTATAATAAGGAATATATATTTGGTCCTACTCCCCATTTCCGGCACAGAGTTTCCAAACCCCTAGGAATTTCCAAAGTAATGAGAGCAACAATGGTGTCTCCTTTTATGTTAATGAGATGATGAAACCCATCAAAGAATGTTAGCCAGGTTGCCATGTGGTTAGAGGACTGGAACTCCTAGCCTCAGCCTCTTATTTCCCATGAAGGAGAGAGGCTTGAGGTTGAATCAATCACCAATAGCCAATGACTTAGTGAATCGTGATTATGTAATGAAGTCTTCATAAACCTCCCTCCGAAAAAGAAAAACCTTTTTTTTTTTCCGGAAAGTTTCCATGTTAGGGAATCAGAATGCTTCCATGTGCCACTGTGTTGGGACTCAAACTCCATGAGGACAAAAGCTCCTTTGTCCAGGACCTCACCCTTTATATCTCTTCATCATCTCATCAGGCTGTTCCTTTAATATCCTTCGTAATAAATCAGTAATCTAGTGGGTAAACGGGTTTTCCTAAGTTCTGTAAGCCATTTTAGCAAATTAATTAAGCCCGAGGAGGGGGTTGTAGAAGCCTGTAATTTACAACCAGTTGGTCAGAGGCACAAGTACCAGCGAAGACTTATAACTGGCATGTGAAGAGGATGGTAGTCTCGTGGAGCTCTGTACCTGTGGAATCTGATTCTATCTCTAGTTAGAAAGCATCAGAACTGAGTTCTCAGACACAAGAATTGCTTGTTGGTGTGGGGAAGCCTCCATCATGTTTTAAAAAATGTTTTTAATCAAGGGCTTAAAATAAATTCGCATTGTTTTTAATCCTTTCTCACCCTTCCATCCCCATCAGGGTTTGAAGTATCAACTTCCCTCTGCAGTTAAGTACTGGCCAGTGAGTAACAACTACAATAGACAGTTGAGTACAAGTAGATTAAATTGTTCATTTGCTTATTCTGGTCTGAATTTCACTGATATCAGGTCAGGCAAACGACAGATCCTGGTGATTTTCTGACTATACCAAGGTGGTCTCCCTCTTTCCTTGGTAAAAACAGCAAAACACTTTTCCAAGTACTGTTTCTCAATCCAGCCCCAAGAGCGAAATCCAAGATAAGATTTCTCTTTCTAGTTTATAAGTGATCTCACTAGAATTTCATGACTAATACCTTATCATGAGGCCCTCTTGCTGGGTAAAAAGCTAACACTTTCAAAAACTACAAATGCCATTAACTAACTGCTAAATCTCCCTCCAGCGTGTCCTCATCTCTGCATCTCCATTGTCATATCCCCAGTGTCAACTTCCCCACAGCTCCTGACTAGACTACTGCCATAACTGATCTTGTTTCCACCCCTTACTCCTGAAAACCTGTTCTGTGGTCCGAAAACAGCAGGATTCTTTCAAACAGCAAATCTGATTGTGTCAGTTCAGTTCCTGCTTGAAACACATCAACATCATTTCCCAAGATTTGTTCCCCACCTTCTTCTTCAGCCTCATCCCCATTCCCTTCACCTTGGCTCTTTGCCCTCCAGCCACTGTGGCCTGAACTGCTCCAAGTCCCTCTTAGGGCTTCTGCAACATACCTGCTGTCCCCTCTACCAGCGCCCACTCTTCCCCCTTCTTCACCTACACAACCCTTAGCACATCCTTCCGATCTCAGCTCAGACATTTAAGAAAGTCTTCCCTAAGGTCATGCACCCTCTTACTGCAGCTATACTTCCCCTTTATAGCACCTACCATTGGCTCCAATTACACATATGTGAGTTTATTTAACATCAATCCTCTAACTGCCAGCAAGTTCCACAATGGTAGGAATTCTCTTTTATACAGCATTATGACCAGAGAGAATAACACAGTGCCTCTCATAGTAAGTACTAAAATATTTTTAACAAACTACAGTAAAAATCTATACCAGAATCTACCCCATTACCCAGACATAAAAAAATATCAAAAGGCCCATGTGTAAGCCACCAAATAATCCAACATTTCCTTCCAACTCAGCCCTTTAATTGTCACTGTTAGGGGGGAAACCAGATACAATTCCTGTTTCATTATTTTTTTGAAAAGAAGCTTATATAGTTGTAAATGCATGAAGGTATCAACCAAATTTATGCTTTTCACTAATCTTGTCAAAAACTGGATTCGATTTTTTTAAAGAGTGATTATAGATCAATTAGAAGACTGTTGGAACAAGAGCTGAGTTTTTTTAAAAGCCAAAGGGATACCATAAAAATAAACTTCCCAAATCAACAGGACCACTCATATTTCAAAGTCTAAAAGCACAGAGAACTAGAAAGTTCTGGCCATTTTCTTGAGCTATATACAAAGATAACCATGGGTGATAAAACATTAAGTTAGCTAAACCCTCAGGATTTGCCTAAAATATACTATCACTGAGTTTGATGGGGATTTATGAGGTTTCTCATGTTTTTTATTAGAACTATCCTATCTAATAAAGAGGGATTGTGCTAATTGACCATCACGCTCTCACAAGATGATGGCACCCACAGCCACAAGAAGGTGGCGCCCAGTCCCCTCAGCCCTGCCTCATCCAGCCTCAGTCCCCCAGTCCCCTCAGCCCTGCCTCATCCAGCCTCAGTCCCCCAGTCCCCTCAGCCCTGCCACCTCATTGGGGCGGCAGGTGCACGGCAAGGTCAGGCCCGCCCCCAGGCATGCCAGGCTGCTCTGCACTCATCCAGCCAGAGTCCCCCAGTCCCCTCAGCACCGCTTCATCCAGCCTCAGTCCTCCAGTCCCCCAGTCCCCTTAGCTCCGCCTCTTCCAGCCTGAGTCCCCCAGTTCCCTCAGCACCGCCTCATCCAGCCTCAGTCCCCCAGTCCCCTCAGCCCCGCCTCATCCAGCTGGAGTCCCCCAGTCCCTTCAGCCCCGCCTCATCCAGCCTCAGTCCCCTCAGCCTCGCCTCACTCAGTGTCCGCAGCATCCAGCCTCATCCAGCCCCAGTCCCCCAGTCCCCTTAGCCCCACAGGGGAAGGCAGTTGGGGCCAATTGGGCCAGCAGGGGAGGGCAGTTGGGGACGATCATGCCAGCAGGGG